AAAAAAAAAATATCTATGTAGCCAGTAAATTCTCCCATGGCCAATCAGAAGTCTTGCTGGGTGAAAACCCCACTTGGCCACACCTACTATTCTGACACCACTTGGCAGCCATGAGGGAAGGTGCCTTTGTGCACCATGGCGTCCTTGGGCACCCCCGTTCTAAAGTATATATGAACAGTGCTGATGCTTCCTAACTCATTTTAGGTTACGTTCTACATTTGACCAAGAGTCTGAGCTTACAAAACACAAGTAATGACATTTCTGTTGATATTAAATGGGACAGGGCTTGAGGGGAAGGGGGGGGGGGATAACAAAGAGTTAAGTAACAGATCCTTACCTTACATTCCATTGAAGCAGTTGGTTCACAAACAATTCTTTGCTCCAAACCAGTGCAGTCAGACCATCTTACACTTACAGAGACGGCTTTGTAGCTTGGTTTCAAACTAGCAGTGGAAGTTCTTAGTCTCAGAGTCTCACCACACAAGCAAAAAAGAGCATCCTGATCTGCATCAACAGCACAGACTACTCATTCACACATATTCTCGCTCCTGAAAGATAATGATTGCCTAGGCATGTTGCACCAAAGAAGCCCACCATCTTTTGCCAAACTTGGAGGGCTTTATGACCGGCGCCAGCTGGGCCATGATGTCTCACTGTTCCTGGCTGAGAGTTGCCTTCACGCCAACCTCGTTGAGGGCCTTCTACTGCTCCAAGGGCCTCTCCAACATGAGGTGGGGGAGTTGTACTTTGTGCTGACATCCAGCAGGAGGCAGTGCTGCAACATGACCACCTTTGGCCTGCTTCTTCCTCAGTAGGTGACCACCCTTGATGCCCCTCTTTGTCAAGGGAGAAGTCCCTCAAACCCTGTTCTAAAGCTCCCTTTCCATTATGGTGCGTGCATGCATGCTGGCTAGCCCTGGGGGAGGAAGGCTGGTCAACAGCCTGGGAAGTGGGTATACACAGTTACTCCTATAGTGGGTATACACAGTTACTCCTATAGCTCCCTGGTGGCATGCAGTGTACTTCCCTCTTTGGCCCTTTCCCATTATCGTTTTTTACCAGGGGCATCAGCACCCCTGCCTGCCACCACACGGCTCTTATTCATCATTTTCTGCTCTTCATCAAAAGCCACAGGTCTATTCTTGGGAGAGTGGGCTACACTCGTGGTTACCAGTGAGACACCCTCCACCCACTCCCTGAACATGGAGGGCAACAGCTCATGCTTTAGGCCTGGTTCCTGCCCCCAAGCCAAACACAGCTCTCCTCTTTCTCATTCCCCAGCGCATACGATTCCCTTGATGGAGTTGCTTCAGAAGGCAGGACAGAATGGGGGGAAAGTCACTTGGCTCATATGCAACCGTGGGCATGCACTGTAATCAGTAACATACCAAATAGCAAAATTCACTACAAATGGGTGTGCGCATCAGCCGGTATTAGCAACATACACACTACGTGTGCGCACTGCAATCAGCAACACATAGAAAGAGCAGAGAACCAATCACTAAGACAAGAAGTTCCCTGTGTGGTGCCCACCAAGTGTTTTTGGGAAGTGGAAGGGGCCAGGTGGGACGTTTGCCCAGCAAAGCTTTTAACTGGCCATTAGAGATTTGATTGGCTGTGCAGTTTTAAAAACATTGCGTTTTCAGTAGCAGCCACAATTTTGTGGCTGGCTCTGCCTCCCACAGCAGCCATATTTGTGGCAATTCTGTGGCTGCGCCCACCACGCTATGTCAAAATTCGAAAGGCGCCCATAGACTCAAAAAGGCTGGGAACCCGTGCACTAAGGGAAAAACTAGATTGAGTCCAATAGCACTTTAGAGACTAACCAGATTTTCAAGATAGAAGCTTTCAAGATGAAAGGAGCTTTGACTCTTGACAGCTTATACTCCCCAAATCCTGTTGGGTTTCCAAGTTGCTACTGGGCTCAAATCTAGCTCTTCTGCTGCAGACCAACATGGCTGTCCTCTGAAACTAAGGGAAAAGTAACAGAGGAGGAAAACACAAACACACACACACTAAACAGCAGAGCAACCAGAACATGCCTAGTAACAGAGTCAGCAAAGAAGGAGTTTGGGCTCCGCTTGTACCTCTTATATAGAATCAAGAAAGCTCCTATAAGGCGAAATCACTAAGCCAGCGACGATTGGTTGAAACACTGTGGAAAGAAGTACCATTCAGCATAATTCCCTTCTGTTTCCTTTGATGATTGGGAAGCTTCAATGTCAGTATCAAATCACTTGATCTCTCCCCTCTATCAGATGTCTCTAACCCAAATTGCCAAGTGCCAAGAAAACAAATGGTGCTCATTCATTCAGTGTTCTTCCTATTATTCATCATATATTAATGGGGCTTTGGAAGGTTATTTTTATTAGCTGGAAAATGAATGCTAATGATTGCTAAAAACCAACACCAGAGCAATATCTTCAATTCGTGTGTGTAAAGCCAGAGCACCAATCAGCTCATTTCTTCTGCATCTACTCCCCAAAATTAAAAACTGCATCATATAGTTGCAAGAATATAACAGCTTTTGAAAGATCTGGCTTGTGAAGAGAAGCTCCTTTCTGGATAGACTTCAGCACAGGTCAGCAATCAGAAGCTCTCTCTAATGAACTCACTATCAGAGACATAACAGCCCTCCAAAGCAATCTTGTTTGTTGACTTTCTGAGTTTTAGCTCCAAGAGAAATCTACATTTGAAATATTCCGCCTTCGTTCCTGAGATTGCCAAATGTGTTTTTATGCTTGTGATGTAACATCTTAAATTGTATTCTTCTGGTAAAAGGTAAAGGTTCCCTTGCTCGAAAGCCAGTCGAATCCGACTCTAGGGTTGCGGTGCTCATCTCCGTTTCAAAGCCGAAGAGCCAGCGCTGTCTGAAGACGTTTCCGTGGTCATGTGGCCGGCATGACTAAACACCAAGGTGCACGGAACAGTGTTCCGTGCACCTTGGTGTTTATTCTTCTGGAGCAGCAACTATACTGCAATGGATGCGCTTGGAAGTCTTTTCCATTTAAAAGAATTTTGTTGTCGGAAGGGCACTGAACTTCTTGTTTTCTTTATTAATTTCTTTCTTTTTATTAGGTTTTCACACATTATAGGGCTGGGAAAATACAAGGTATGGGATAGGGCATTATATGGCAGGAAGGGTACAGGGGATAGGATAAGACAAAAAGGGAAGTTCCATCATGTTTATATAATAGCTGTTACAAATTTTCCATCTTAATTCTTTGTTTCCAGAGCTCTTTCTTTTGTATAATTTCTAAGACTAGTGTCACTTAATCAAATTCTATTCATTTCAAGTTAGAGTTTCTCCAAGTTTATATTTATATTCATTGTTCTTGGTCTTCAAAGTTTCTTTCCACCCAGTCATAAAATGGTATCCAATTGTCTCTCACATTTTGTTTACTTCGGTCTTTCAACAAGTCCAACAGTATATCCTTTTCTGCTGTTTCAAAGTTCACTTTCCATTGGTATCTCTGATTTCTTCCAGTAATTAGCATAAAGATTTCTTGCTACTGTAACAATATGTATAATTAAATGTTTAACTTTCTTATCCTTTACATCAGGCATAATATTAAACAAGAACATTTCAGGTTTAAATGGTAGCAATATCAAACATATTTTTTGTAACATTTCATGAACCCAATATAACATAACCTCTTTACACTTCCACCAAGCATGAAAAAAGCTTCCCACCTGTATCTTACATTTCCAGCATTTATCAGACATTCCAGGATACATATTTTTGTGGCTAATTTCTCTGGCGTTATATACCACCTATAGAACATTTTATATAAATTCTCTTTAAAGGCAACTGATTTTGTTATTTTAACTTTTGCTTTCCATATTTGCAATCAATGGCCAAAATCAATATTATAGCCAAAATTTTGGGCCCATTTTAACATACATCCTTTAATCACCTCATCCTCCATCTTTATCTGTAACAAATACAGATTTTTTTTTAATCTCCTAAGTCTATATGCTAACCATCTTCCTGGTTTATTAGCATTTTCAAAATAATTTTGCTTTGAAAATTTGATTTTCTTTGGAATTTCTTCAGACAATATCACATTAAAATGATGTTCTTTTATTTTCAACTTATTGGCCGTTGGGTACTTTTTCAGCTTTTCTTCCTGCTTTATTAATTGGTCCTGTTTTTCTTTTGCATTGCTGCAAATTGAATTGCCATTCCTCTGAAGAAAGCCTTACTCCCAGGCTGCATTTAGAGAGATATCCGGTTGAATATTTTGTTTGAAAAAATGTTCTAGTTCCTTTTTTGTCTCCATCACAAACTTCTCCTTTTTCAAGCGCTTCCAACTAAATTTCTTGGAAATGCCAGTCATTTAAAAAAATACAGGTTTATGATCTGCAAAAGTTTTTGGTAAGATATTTGCTTTTCCTACATTCATCAAACTCACTGAGATCCAGCACATATTGATTCTAGACCAAGACTTGTGCCTTTGGGAATAAAAAGTAAAGTCCTTTGTTATTGGATTCCTTGTTCTCCAGACATCAACTGAATTATATTCTTCTGCTAACTGTCTTTGGCAGGAGTGTTCCAAGTTTTTTAATTTGTTTAGCTGATTTTCTATCTTGTACTTTATCGAAAACTGCACTATAGTCTCCAATCCGACAGTGTTCTTCATATTCATGAGTTGCTAATTCCTGTTCCAGATCCTTATAGAAATTTTCTTGGTAGTCATTTGGTGCATAAATATTAATCACTAAAACATTTTCTGCTCTCTTTGAATTTCCATCATCAAAGATCTACCATCTTCAGAGGCAAAAATAAGTTTAGGTTTGAACTTCTCTTTAATATATGTTACAACGCCTCTTTTTTCCTTCTTTGGATCTGAAGCTATAAAAATTTTCCCTCTAATTACACTCTAATAAATGCTGATCAGTTCATCTAATATGAGTTTCTTGTAAAAAATTATACCCAAATTTAATTTTTGCAACTGTAAAAATGTCTTTTTCTTTAGTGAATTAAGTCCGTTCACATTGATTGTACGGATTCTAATTTGTTCTCTATCCATCACATGTCTTTACTTTACTATCAGCTTGTTTATGTTTGGTCTGTCTTCTTATTTCCATTCTTAGTGCTGCTTTGGCCTCTTCTTCTAAATTCGTTTCTGATTCCAGGCTGTCCTGTGACTGAGTCTCTGAATCTTCTTCTTTCTCTTTATCTGATTCCTCTTCCTTGGACTCTTCCCTATTAGATGAAAGTCTCTTTCCATATTTCTTCAAAAAGTCTTGCGCTTTCAGTGTTGAGTTTATTCTGTATCTCTGGCCTTCATATGAAAAGAAGAGACCTTCAGGTATCAGCCATCTATAAGAAATATCATTGGCTTTCAATACTGATGAGAGGGATATTCATATTCTTTCCTCTTCTGTCTCATCCTCCATGGTACCTCTTTCAAAATATAATCACATTTCCTTTTATAGTCAGGTCTTTGTCTCTCATTCCCCTCAGCACCTCATCTCGCACTGCTCTTTTAGTAAATTTCACGTGAACCTCTCTTGATACTTTGTTCTTTCTAGCATAGCTTGAATTTACTCTGTAAATCAAGTCTATCTCTCTTTGAAGATCATCAATTTTGACCTCCATTTCTAATGCAAGTGATTGTGCTAATAAAAGGGACAAGTCCTCTTCCTTATCCTCTGGGATGTTCTGGAACCTCAGCATATAGGCTGCTCTATCCATTTCCAGCTTAATCATTCTGTCATCTGACAGCTGTTGTGCTTCTACCACTTCTTTTACTTTCTGTTGGGTCTTTTCTGCTCTTGTCAGGTTTTTTTTATAGCCTTCGCTAATTTGGTGGTTTCTTGTTTATTTTCCTTAAAATGGTTTTGGAAATCCTCCATTTAATCATTTATATCTTTAATCTGAGTTGTTATCTGGGTTAGGCTGTTCTGTAATTGGCTCAACCCAGTTACAAAAGTTGCTTGCAAACTTTCCTGGAGCTCTTTTAAAGAGCTCTTCTTTACCAAATATCTGCCCATGTTATTCTCCTGAAACAACAACAAAATAAAAGTAAGAAAGTCTCAGGCCAAATTAAAGGAAAGCAATTTTAAATCATCCAGTATTATTTTTTTTATATAATATTTGTTTATTATTATACACATATATAGACAAAAATACAAACCCTCCACCAAAAGACAAACACCAAACCATTACATAAAAACAGATCCTTCCTTTGACCCCCCTAGGGTCTATCTCAGGGGTCTGCAACCTTTAAGACATAAAGAGCCACTTGGACCCGTTTCCGACGGAAAAAAAAACCCGGGAGCCGTAAAACCATTGCGACATTTAAAACAAATATAACACTGCATATATTGTTTCTTACCTTAATGCTATATACAGGATCGTGCAGTCAGCTGTCAATCTGAAGGAAAAAAAGGACTTTTTCACTTAACAATATAAAATATATTTTTGCAAATTAATAGCTAATTAAGATATTTAATTTACCTGGTTAATGGGATTTTTGCTCCCGAACCTCAGTGCACAGTGTCTGCACATCAGAGAGAGGCATGTCTTTGATTTTCTGCACAATTTCATTCTTGTTTTTGAAGTCCACATATAGATGTTCCGAAATCTTAATGAATGCTTCTTTTATATACTCTCCATCTGTGAATGGCTTCCCGTGCTTGACTATTTCCTGAGCGGCCAAAAATTTAGCACATGTTGTGGAATTTGCA